TCCCGGGGGGGCCTGGCGGCGCGCGTCCTCGCCTTCACCGGGGGGGCGTCGAGCACGGCGGGGGCGGCTGGTCTCTCAGCTTAGTCTGGAGGCAGGCTGAAATCCTTTCCCCTGCGAGCTGTGCTCCGTGGCTCCCTGTGCCTGCCTCTTGGTGCCCCCACGGTGACTGCCGAGCCGAGCTTTCTTACCACGGACCTAGCCCGAGTAGCGAGTCGGCTCGCGGGTAGGTGCTTAACTAACCCCCAGTTGAGTGCTGCTCGGTCCCTCTTCAAACAGCCGCCGCCCTCTCGGGTCCTTCTTTCCAGAACGCCTTCTGCAGGCGTAGGAAGTAAAACGCGTCTTTCTTTCCTGTCGGTTGTAGGAGTGATGTGGGGACCACCTGTTCGGCGTGACGGAGGAGGAGTGAAACATCTGATAACGGGACGAAACAAAACACCTGGTAAATGGAAGCCATGAAGATGTCAAAACGCTTCTTTGCTTTTGGGATTTTGGCATGCATAGCTATTTATGTTGCATACATAAAATGGCACTTGGACTCCAAACCAGTCTTAGGAGCAACAGAAGAGAGTGCTGAAAGCAGCAAAGACAGACGGAACCATCCGGCGGTGACAGCAGATCTCTCCGTCTTTTATGGGATTATGTTTGATGCAGGAAGCACCGGAACTCGCGTACATATTTTTAAATTTACACAGCAGCCAAAAGGTATGGCATACTGACGCATGATAGACAGGTTCCTCCATCAAGAGCGGAGCGTGTTATCGATACCTCTTTCCTAGGGATTACTTGCACAAATGTGCTCCAACTCTTCCTAGAGAGCCATCAGGAGACATACTGTGGTGCAAGCACGTGGGTTTGGATGAAATCCGTTATGTGAATATTCTACAGGGGGGAAAAGGCTGTAATGGCAGCTGTACCCTTAGAGCGGTGTCCTGAGGAGGAGCAATTTGCCATCGCGCTACTTGGTGGAAGAGAGGAATAAGTTTGAAGTGCCATATTCCCCAAAGTTTTCACCACGGGGCTGTTGGCTGTCTCCAGTTTCTGGCAAGGAGTTGCTTCTCCCTGTGTTGTCTGGTTTAGTGCAGCCTTGGCTTCAGTGGGACTTCAGCATTTGATTAAAATTGCTCTGTGTTGCGCTGGGACAGAGAGCACCACGGAGACGCGAGACAGCAGTGGACGGAAAAGCTCCGGTTTTCCACTGGAGTTACAAGCTTCCCTTGTTTATGCGTTGTCAGCGCTGTGAAGCTCTTAAAGATGAAACAACCCACGTGCATGCTATTAAATAGGAGATCCAGAGGATTTTCCTTTCGGGTTAGCAGCATGGTGTGTGATATGGTCGGCCCGTGGGAAGCATCTGAGGTTTGCAGGATAGCCCAAGCATAAAGCTTAGCAGTGAAAGGTGTTCAACAACAGTCCACACGTGGATTTCATTCATTCTTCTTTCCATTTACTCCTGAATCTTGGCTTCTTCCATGGCTGCTTCTCTTTAAACCCAATTCCCACAATTCCAGAGTATTGCAGGAAACTTTCTGGAGTGCGGTTGGGTACAGGAGAAGGCTATTCTCAAGTTCGTAGTATCTTGCCTGCAGGTTCATTTAACTCTCTGTCTTTCAGGCTTCCAAAATACTTAGCCTTGGCTCTCTCTGCTGCCATTGAAAGTGGTGGTAAAACTTCCACTGACTTTTGCTGGGCTCGAGTTCAGCCGAAATGCAGCCTGTTGGAAAGTTTGGTCTATGTTACCCATGTCGTTTGGGAAGCTGTATATGGGGGAGTAGTAAGAGGGTAAGGAGGATTTGCAGCCATCTGATGATTTGCCTGATGAGCATAAAAAATACATGCCTAGTGGGCACCGGCACCTGGAAAATAATTGTGATTTAAAAAAAAATGTTTTGCAGGGGGCTAATTCCACGGCAAAGCCTATGTTTTAAAGGTAGGGTGGCCTCTGCCAGTTCTTTAGACAGAGGCTTCAGATGACTGCCATTAGCATATAATGATGTAACTTGTAATCTTTTTTTCTTTTCTTTTTTTTTTTTTTTTGTCGATGCGAAATTATTTGTACCGTTACTTATTTTGGAATACTGCTTTTGAACAGAGACTCCCAAGTTAACCCATGAGACGTTTAAAGCACTGAAGCCAGGTCTGTCTGCATATGCCGATGATGTCGAAAAGGTAATTTCGTGTCTCTTACTGTAAAAGCGTGTGCCAAAGCTTCCTGTTCTTGAAATGCCCTGCAAATCACACCTCGCTGGGGTACGGTTCGCTGAACTGTCTCAGTGCAGGAAGCTCCAAGAAGGTGTCTCCAAATGATACCAGCCCACGGAAAAAGCTGCTCAGTCCTCAGAAGATCAAGAAACAAGTGTGTATCTAGCTCTGCCAGGGGATTTCTAGGTGAGGCTGTAGATTAAGCACAGTAGAGGATTTTCCCATCTCTGCCTTAAGATTTGCTATGCACTTAAGAATGGGACAAAAAGAAGAGCCATGCTGGATTGGAGCAGAGCCTCCTCCAAGAGCAACCAGAATTAGATTCTCAGGGAAGGAAGGCCAAGTGTTAAGTGACTTCTCTCCCGTCTCCCTTACTTTCTGGCTGGCAGGGATCTGGGGCTTCCTGAGCCAAAGCTTGTACCTGGTTCATAGCGTTTTACTGGCTTTGAAGACCTTTTCTTCCATGGATTTGTCTCATTGTTTTGGCTACCAAAGGCTCAAAAAGCTTTCAGTGGCAAGGAGTTCCTTGGCACCATTTGAGAAAGCGGCTCTCTCTGTTTTGGACTTGTTTCTGGATAATCCCAGTTGCACCCGCCAGTTCTTATGCTGTGGGAGATAGTGACTCGTCCTTCCCTATCGACCTTCTCTGGACTCCTTGTGATGTTCAGTTGTGCATGTTCCGCATTTGCAATGAATCATACCTTTGATCACCCTTTCGCCCTTCTGAAGAAGAACCCTTCAGAATTTCTAAGATACCTTTTTCTTTGTTGTTCTTTCTGTGCTCCCAGAGTGGTCAGGGAATAAAAGAGCTCCTGGAAGTGGCAAAGAATGAAGTTCCCACGGAGCTGTGGAAGTTCACTCCTCTGGTCCTAAAAGCAACGGCTGGCCTACGGTTGCTGCCAGGAGAGAAGGCTCAGAAGTTGCTGGATAAGGTACTGTTTTGTTTCTTTCACTTTGCGTTCCACAAATTTTATAGCAAAATTTGGCCCCCTGCGTGTAAGGTACATACGCTCCTTTATGTTAACGCGCGTGAGTCATTGCTATCATTTAACCCCGCGAGCGATGCAGAGCCGCTTGGTCTCAGATGGGGTGAGAAACTGTGTGAGCACAAGCCCAGAAGAACGCTGACCGCTCCAGATAAGCCTGGAGATGGCAGTAGACATTAGCTGCCCTATGAAACACAACAAGTGTAATGAGACACTTCTAACAGTTGTCACAGGCTCGTTCCTCCTGTGAGTGTTTGTGTGTGGCTTTAGAAAGGATCTAGCTATTCTCGATGAAGCTCTGCTACTTGGTTTGTTAGCAGCTTGATGCTGTGAGATTGCTGCGTTTCAGATTGATTAAAAACAATGTATTTATAGGCATGTAAAATATGGGTTTTTTAAAATAGTATAAAAAGGAATAAGATGAGGCATGCACCGGTTGTAGTCTTTTTCCTCTCTTTTTCATTGTACTCTCAATGACCGTGGAAGGAAGAAATCTAATGTGTTGACCCTGTAGCCTAATGAAAGAGTTTTCAGTGTTGATCAGGGAAATGTTGAAACCAATGTCTGTTGGTTTCTTTGTTGCCTGCAGACTATCCCGTTCTTTTCCACACTGAATTTCAGTTGGAGCTGCTGCAGGCCTCCTCAGCTGTTACTTCAGAAGAGCGTGGATACCTAGGGCTTTGCTGCCTCATTTAGGGTGTAGTCCAGAGGAACTACGGTAACAGCCAACATGTTCACATGAAAAATGCCATCCACTGTGGCATTTCTGAAAGCCAAAGTGCCCATCTCCTGCCTCTCCCTTGCTTTTTTACTGGAAAAAGATTTCTCTGAGAGTACCTTTTATTTGAATTACAGGTGAAGGAGATTTTTCAGGCTTCCCCCTTCTTCGTGAGGGACAACTGTGTGTCCATAATGAATGGAACTGATGAAGGTAGGTCAGCTTCTGGAGACCTTTTCTGAAATCCTGCGTTCCTGCCGCACCGCAGTAAATCCCTGCTGGCTGTTGTGGGAACCCACGTGTGGTCGTTTTTACACTGCCTCGGGCAGTGCCTGCCAAAGGGATTTTGTGCTACGTTTTCCAATGTGAAGTCCGGAACTCTAGCCCCGTTTTTAAAGCGACGAGTGCCTGGCAATTCCTGTGGGATCACTGGGAAGCTGCTACACAGTCAGCGCTTCTGGAAAGGTTTCTGAATATCTACGCGTTGGCATAGTTTTCAAACCTGGTTTTGCGCACCGTGCTCTTGACAATGCTCCTCTGAGTTCTCTGGAAGTAATTGGTCATAATGTTAATTATGACTGATCTAATGAGTATGAATGTGAATTGAACCTGAAAAAAATGTTATATAGAGAAGAAAATGCATGTTGAATTAAATTGTCATTCAAAAAAAATGCTGAGGACAGACCTCAGAATCAGTCTTACCTGAAAAGAATTTGAAGAAACATGTCTAAATTCTAAATAACTGAGCGCTGAAATGTGTTTTTAATCTGCCTAGAAACCAAACTTAAAAATAGCTGCTGTTTTGGAGCTGTTTATGGGTTTATTTTTACTGTTCAATAGAAAAAATACATTATAGTTCTTCTTTTTGTTCTGTTTGAAGTTTATGAATAGTCCATTAAGTTTATGTGACAGCTTTGGTTCAGCCAAGGATTGAACTGGAGCTTGTTCCCTGGCAGGCCTTGAGTTTTAACAAAATGGATAAATATTTTGGTTTGTTAATATAAGGCCCATTAATTCCCCTTATTTCTGGGGAAAAGGCTTATCAAACCAGAAAAGGACAGAAACAGTGCTGTTCACAAAAATGCTGGAAAGAAAATGGGAAAAAATAAAATACCTAACAAATGAAAATGCCTAGTATTCAAGAGGAAAATCAAGTGCCTGACAATGAACAAAAGTCTACTGGCCCAGACACCCTTCAGAGACTTTGCATTAAAAGTAGTCCATTTGTGAAAGGGGGAGAAGGGAGCTTGTGACAGGCGGTCTCTGGTGTCCTTTTCTGTGTTTGGATGATAGGCTCTGATTTGCTGGTTATTTCATTTATATGGTCCAGTTAAACTGTTTGAGAAGCCTTAAAAATGCCTCCAGCCAAGCAGGTCCCAAAACAGGAAGACCTTTTCATATGGCGTGACTTATCTGGTGTTGTTGACAGATAAAATGAAAGGACGTGATCTAACAGTGTGTCTTCTGAATCTTTTCCTTAATAGGTATTTCAGCCTGGATCACAATAAATTTTTTAACAGGTATGGTTACGTGAGCACGTGCATGCAGGTATGCCTGATTCTGTGAAACGTAGGCTGTTTTCTGCCCCAACATGGCATTTGCTCATCATTTGGGGTGGAATGGGAGAAAAACGGGTCCAGGAAGGAAGCAATCTTTTTTGGTCTGGTCTATTTAAGTCACTAGGATTTTGACCATTTACTTTACGGGGTGAGGAATTCAATCCCTTTTCCTAGCTGTTTATGTAGTCTTTCTTTCAATTAATTCCCTGTATGCAGTCTTTTTTTTTTTTTTTTTTCAATTTTTCTTAGAAGGTACCAGAGCACTTCATTCCTTTTTTAGAGTCTGCCACTCACTCTGGGTAAATTTGTAATGCAAATAATCTGGATCTGCTTGACAGGTGCTCAGAGTGGAAGAAAGTGCTGTGGTACTTCCTTATAGATCTATAGCCTAGTAATATGACCAGTGTTTGCACTCGTGAGTTTAAAAAAAAAAAAAAACCACAAATAAAAAGGTAGGTGAAGAGTAAAGAAAAAAAGTAAGCTGAAGGTTTCTCTGGAAAAAAAATAAGTAAACCAGTCTGCCATCCAAGTGCTCTATTCAGCACTGAGAGTGTTCTGAACGCTATGACAAGTGCTGTAAAGCTTTTTTATGATCACAGGAAGTATCAGAAAGGTCAGAGATCTTTGAACGCCAGCTCTCATGTGGTATACGGAGGTACTTGGCCTGAGCCAATCTTGCCAGAAAGGTAATACGTGAAGGGTCTAACTGAGGAGAACTGGATTTAAATGAGAAGAGAGGTTTGGGCTGGCAGAAGCAAGGATCCCGAAAGAGCTGAATCTCTTGGGCCAGCTCTTTTCAGTCGCTCATCTCCTGAGCCCTAGGAATATGCAGAAGTATTGCTAAGGGAGCCAGAAGAGATGGCCAAGAATACCACATTCCTCTGTGTTACAGAGCGGTTACCAGAGTGAAATTTGTGAAAGGACCCTTATATCCATTGAAAAACGTTTGGGAGTCCGCTAACCGAAGCTGCTGTAATTGGGGCATGAACAGTCACCACAGAAGTAAAAGCAACTTTGTCACTGGGAAGCTTTTCAGGTCACCCTGATAAAGCCCGAATAAATGCCCGGTAGATGTTATAATCTAGTACTGGCAGGAAGCTGATGAATGGAGTTAGACTGTGGTCTTTGCACCGTTCTGGTTTTATTCCTTTCCAGTTTCCTACTTCTTGCAGTGCCCACCGTGGTTTTCTCTGTTCTGTCCCACATTTCAGGTAGCTTAAATGATCCACAGAAGAGAAGCGTAGGAATGCTGGATTTGGGCGGTGGATCAACGCAGATCACCTTCCTTCCACGCACTGAGGTAATGTGAACATGCTCATTGTAGAGAAACACCAGGGCTAAATCAGTAAGCGCTCTGATGTATTTCCCTTGGAAGTGGACAAAGAGTTTGTCATTTGACGTGAAGCCACGCTTCTGACGGAAGAGCCCAGTCACTTTGTCGCGTTTGCCTTGGTGCGGTCCCAGAGGTATTCACAACTCTTTGTCAGTGCTCCTGCTCCAGCTCTGTGGTTCAGTCCGTGTGGTGCATCCGCCGGGGCTGCTTTACTTTTGGGGGAAAGTACAGTGTCCTTCTGAGCATCTTTATTGTTGGCTCTCAGTTTGTGCTGTTTATAATGACAAATTCAAAGGGAATGCTGTTAATGAATCCAAGTCCAACATGTGGTCTCCGCCATGTTTTGAGTACAGAGAATAAGATTCCTTCTCAGCTCTTGTTTTTGGCTTTCCTGGGTTCGCTCGGTTGCAGGCAAGCCTTTCTAAGGAGTGACCGTTTTTATGCAATAAAAAACGTATGCTGATGTTTGTCATTTCAGCTTCCAGATGCAGCATTTTATAGGGGTTCTATGAGCAGGAAATCCTGTGGATACGGATCTTCGGCAGTAAGGCCCTGGCCTGAGTAGAGATCCTGTTGGCAGGAAAGCTGCACAAAGGCAGAGGGTAGGGGCACGATCTTAGTGTTCTAGCCTGGGCAGATCAAGACATTGTGGTCTTACAGGAGAATGACAGGGGATGTGAAAAGTCCTGGATGTGGACGTTTTGGAGCGACAGAGATGGTGTTAGCATACGAGTAGTTAGGCAAGAACAGCAGCGTGGCCTGAGCTTCATTCCTGTGAGCACGCCAGCGGTGGTGGTGCACTTGAGAGGAGGCTGCACAGTGTCTTAGATCATCATCCTGTTGTTTCCCCAGACCACAGGCTGGTTTTCACCTTGCGCCTTGACGAGTACAGTGAGGTGGTTTTCCTCTGGCTCGTGGAAGACTGCAGCTGAGTTCACCTCAGTAGCAAGTTAACGCACGCCTGGGTCTGTTATTGTTTTGCACACAGTTTTCCATTGTAGAGATCTTGTGAATAGGCAGTTTTGGTAGCCTTTTGGCAAAGCAATTCAGAGCTGAAATAAGGATTCCTTTTTAATTGTTTTGGTGTGGACGCAAGTAGAAACGTAACCAGGTTGGATTCCGTCATGTGAAGTTACTATTTCAGCTCCTATTTTTTTGGTCATGTCACATGTATCTGAGGTCAAATCTAAACATTTGTAAATGCATCATTCCTCTCTGGGCCACGGAAGGATTGTTTCGGTCATTTTCCTAACGTTTTAGAGGATTTCCTAATGTTTTGGAGGACTGTGTTATTGCTGTCTGCTTTCGCTGGCAAAAACTTTGCACTGTCTTTTTCTCCTTCCAGGCAGCTCTGCAGACATCGCCAGCTGGCCATACGACTTCATTTCAGATGTTCAACAATACCTATAAGCTGTATGCATACAGGTTAGTTTTGGAAAAGAGAGCAGGCTGGAAACATAAAAGCTTACTGTGAAGCGGGTGAAATCCAACAGTTTCGCTGAAGTGAGGTCTTTGCGAGCGAGTCTTTAGAAGAAACGGAGAGATTTGAGCCAAGTCACCCTCTGCACAAGCAGAGTATGGGGAGGTTGTGCAGAACAACAGGTAGGCAGGCAGGCAGTCTGATGGCTAAGAAAGTAGAGGGCTCTAAAGCTGCCTGCATGCCTAGTGTTTTGGGCAGGGGGAAGCAGTTTCTTCCCACCCAAGTTTGCTGGGGGGTGTGTTGGGGCTCAAGAGGGGTCAGCGCTGTATGATAGAGGCTGCCCTGCCTTTGAGAGGGCTAGGAAAAGTATTGGGGGGAACATGCGAAGAATTCCTAGTCTTAAAGAGCAGGTTTATAGCTGACAGCCTATTCCCTGTGCTTTGCTCAAAGAGAGATTATCGTGCTGGCGTTAGCAGCCTTTGCCAGAGATGGGCTAACGTGACCGTGGGTTGTCGCACTGTTCCCCTTACGTGTGTTAACTGCCGACTCGAGCCATCTCGCTGGGATCATATAGAGGAGACGGGCATGTCCCAGCCAAGTTGTCAATGGAGTATCAGAGAGGGGATGTTGTTCACGGAGGCTTTTCTCCTTTGCAGTTACCTGGGACTCGGGCTGATGTCAGCAAGGCTCGCGATTTTAGGAGGAGTTGAGGGAAAACCCTGTAAGTGATGGGCACTCCTGCAGTCTTGTCTCTGAGCTCGTGCCTTTTGGGGGCTGGCTGGGGACAGAGTGTGTTGCCCTGTTGTGGAGCTCAAGCTGCTTGCGTGGTATGTGGACTCCTGTCACCAGACCCGGGCACGTTTTATGTGGATGCAGAAAGTGACGCTGCTAGATCCCAGGAGGCAAGGATTCTCGCCAGCCTTGGCGGGGCTTGGGACATTTGAGCCAGGACTGGGGCTTGGAGGCGCATTGCTGAGCATGTGAGAAAGTGTGGAGCAGGGCTGGGGGCGGAGGGAGGGATCTAAAACTAACTTCTAGTTCTTCTTCCTGATACCAGTTCCTCTTTACTTCTGCAGTAGGGGAAGGTGAGGAGCTGATCAGCCCTTGTTTATCACCTGGTTTCAAATCTGAGTGGGAACATGCTGAGATAGTGTACAAAATTAAAGGACAGAAGGCAGGTATAGTGCCTTATCATCTCTCTCTCCCTTGCAAGGCCAGCGTGCTTGTTGCAGAGTAAAGTAAACACACTCCCAGGCTCTTGGAAAGACGCTAGATTCTCTGTGTGAGTGTCGTTCTGTATGACTCTTTCTCCTGAGGCTTGTCCTGTTAAAGGACAAGTCTCCTGCTGAGATTGTGCAGCTTTTTCTGCTCTGTGTCCTGGCATGTCTGTCCGGTCCGTAAAGCTGTTAGCAGTAATACAGCAGGAGTTGAGTGCTCCCTGAACAGGTCTCTTAAAATCCTCCTGTCTCAAATGATGTTGTCCCTCCCTGATGGGTCCATACTGAGGATGGACCCACTCTGAGGTTGGTGAATGTTGCCACTGGAAAGAGATGCAGACCTGTTATTTCAGATCTCTGCGAAGAGCCTGTAAGAATTCAGGGAGTGCTGTTGTGCAAAAGGGAGTCTGTCTCCTTGCAGAGTCTGCAGAAACTGTGTATGTGTTTAACTGCCCACCTGTAACCTGTTGGGTTTCGTTGCCTTCGTTTAGGTGAACCTCTGTATGAGTCTTGTTCTAACAAAGTGGCGAAGATGCTCTACAAAAAAGTGCATAAAATCGAGGAAGTGAAGAATTTGGATTTTTATGCTTTCTCCTATTACTATGACTGTGCGGCAGAGGTTGGTCTCATAGGTATGTTTGCTTCTGGCTTTCATTTCATTTTAAGGGGCAAGTAATGGGAGAAACGATAGCACTGACATATATCACAGTACTTTGCTAAGCTGTTGAGGAACTGGATCCTTTGTTATACCAGTGTGCAGCATTGGTCTCATCTGGATATCGAGCGCTATTAAATTCCTTTAGAGAAGGAACTTGGGGTTGTGAAATAGGGTTTGCAGCTTCTTTCAATGTTTTTTTACATAAATTGGCTGCATTTCAGAACTCACTGGTGTCCGATTAACTCTACCGTCCAAAATAGGAAAAAGACCCCATAGAGAGGAACAGGTCTCCCCGTGGGTGATAAAGCACATCAAACCTGCGCTCCTGGGCTGCGTATTTTACCTGATTGGCTTTTTAAATGGAATAAAGATTTTTCAGCTATTTCCACGTGTATTTATGATGCATCCCGTCACTTTTCCAGTGGTATACAGGTGTACAGAAGTCTGTCATGGTCAGTGGTAGAAAGCAGGTGACAGGATCTCCAGTTAGTATGGGTAAACTTACCCCTCCTCAGCCACTTTGTTTTGCAAATAATTTCAGATTTAATATCTTGCAGAGCACCGTTGTCCTGCCAGATCTGGTCAAAAGTGATTACTGTGTTTAGGCATGACAGGACAGCACAGACATGGCAACAAGGCAAGAGAGTCTGTAAACTTTTTTTTTTTTTAATTAGGAAACTAGAAAAAATTCTGCTTAAAATGAGGATTTTTGATGTATATTAGGTTTCTAATATCAAGGTTCTTGTATCTTAAAGCAAGCCTGAGTTCTGTCCTTGATTTCAGTGGCTCAAGGCTTGATTTCCAGTGTTTTTCCAAATTGCATCTACAATTGCTTATATACAGAAGCCATAAAACAGATCCCAGTTTTTGTGTGTTTGTTTCTTTTTTTAGATAAAGAAAAGGGAGGAAGCCTTACCGTCAGTGACTTTGAAATTGCAGCTAAATATGGTGAGTAAAGAATAAAATCACACAGGACTGGTAATTATATGTGAATTCATATCCAGGTGGCAAATGTGTGCCCTGCTAAGAAGCCAGAGTTTTTTCTATTTCATTTTTAGTAATTACTGAGCACCCATCTTCTGAAGATCGCCACAGCATCTCAGCCACCGTTTCTTTTATTTCTGAAAATCTTAGCTATTGTTTCTATTAATTCTTATTTTTGCAGCCCACATAAGACACATCTTGTAATACTGACATTAAAAAAATAATCTCTCAGGAATTACTACTAATAAACTTGTCAGTTAACAGTTGTCCTGAAATCATGCTTTAAGAGGGATGTGGCATTCTCATCATGTTAGCGTAAACTGCCCTAATACAGTTTAGTTTTTATTTTTGTCTCAAATTTTGTTCATATGCTTGATCATTAATCAAAAAGAGGGAAAAACTGATTCATGGTCTCTTCTGCTTCATCAGCTGTAGAGAGAACTGCCTCCTCAGATTTACAAATTTAAACGTATTTCTTTTTAATACTGCAAACTCCGGCTTTGCTCAGACCAATACAGGCTTTTTTTTTTTTTTTTAAGTAAACTTTGAGTGACTGAGCAACTTACGGGGTTCTAATTACTGGACTGCCATTTGTGTGATCCACCTTGAGAAAGGAAAGGAGTCGTATTAAGTCTTTGTTTTTGGCAACTTCTGCTGAGTGCATATGCTTGGGAAACATTCTGGTGGGAAGAGCTGCTCTTGCACAAGTAACTGCTCAGCATTTGAGCTGTATCAGGACAGGGCTGAGATTTTTTGCAATTCTTGTTTTTCCCAGCTTTTAACATCCTTTCTCACCAAAAGGAGATGTGGGCACACCTGACACTGCTTAGATTTTAAAGGTGTAAAGTTGGTAGAAAAAAAGTTGCGGGCCCTTTCTGTCTTTCCCTGAGAAGTAAAAGGAACTCAGCTGTCTTACGGGAGAGACAGAATACCTTGGTCTTTCACTGTGCCAGAGCTTTGCTGTTTTTGCTAACGCATCTATGTCATTTTAACCCCTCAAGGAAGACAAAACAGAGGATAAATAGGTTCCCTCACTGCGGAACCCAACTGATGAGATGTGTTTTAACAGTTTGTTTGAGGTTTTTCAAAGTGGGGCTGATGCTAGGCTTGAGCCCACAGTAGGCACTCAGATACTCTGTTTTCATTCTCCTCAGTATGTAAGACCATGGAAATCGACCCAGGAAGCAGCCCTTTTCTCTGCATGGACCTCACGTACATCACCTGGCTCCTGCAAGAACTAGGCTTTGCGAAGAGCCAAGTCTTAAAGGTGATGCGCAGAACGGACTGCTGGGCAGAGTGGGCAGAAGGATGTCGGGGGGCTTTAGCCACTCAGTCCCTCATTTCCCTTCCTGCTACAGCACGTGCCCTGTGACTAGGGGTAGGGGGGACACCACACCATGGTGATAACCAGTGCATTAACCTTCAGCACAATATTCACCTCGCATGCGTCGTCTTCTGCCAGAGAATTGTGTCTTAACTTCTGGGTTTTTTTCTTTTCTTTTTTTTTTCCTCCCCCCTCCAGCTCGCCCAGAAAATTGACAACGTCGAAACGAGCTGGGCTCTGGGAGCCACTTTTCATTACATCGACTCACTCAACAGCCTGCAGTATTAAAGCCCCTTGAAGGTGACTTTTGAGAATCTCAGCTTTCGGAAGACCAACACAGGAGGATCTGGTAAAGGGCCTGCTTTTGGCTTCCTGAGTTCTTTGGGAGGTTTTTGTACACTAGGACCCTTTCCTTCCCTCCGCCCCGCCAAGCCTCCTTCATCACTAGCTCTTTTTTACAGTGCGGAGTGCGGGATCTGAAGAATAAGCCTTGATTTTACAGCATCTGCAGTCGACTTGGTGTAAGCCCAGATCGTCTTTGAAGGAAAACCAGGACTCTCTGCAGGACATCTATGATCTCTATGAGAAAAAACACACTTTTGTGGAATGCGCCTGTACTATTTGCTTGTGATGTGCTGAAGTCGGTGTAGGAAATGGTCGCTCCGGAGAGAGCCCTTCACTGTCCTGATTTCGTTTCAGGGGGTTTTTCTTCTTGTCAGCAGCTTTCAGGGACGATTATTTATGTTTTACTACTTGTATTGTTTGATATGAACTTGGGTGGGGGACTTTTGTGGAATGCGCCTGTACTATTTGCTTGTGATGTGCTGAAGTCGGTGTAGGAAATGGTCGCTCCGGAGAGAGCCCTTCACTGTCCTGATTTCGTTTCAGGGTGTTTTTCTTCTTGTCAGCAGCTTTCAGGGACGATTATTTATGTTTTACTACTTGTATTGTTTGATATGAACTTGGGTGGGGGGGTCTGCGGCCTCGCAAC